CTTATTCAGGGATTGTTCCTCCTTTTGTCAGCCTGCCCTCACATTTTGTGTGAGCATCAATGCCAAACAAGAACAAACCCCTGTTGTGCTCTTGACAGGATGTCATGAATAGGGGACCAAAAATTTGCATTTGCAGGGTCGTCTCTCTCAGTCTGTTTGGCTTGTTGTCCAGGTGGCCTTCTGTAACAGTCGCACGTCTAGTTCTCCCACTGTCAAAGCTGAGAAGGGCAGAAAGCTGGTGTGTGGTGTCCCAAAGGAGAATTAAAGGGGCCTCTGCGTGGAGAGAAAGGATATGCTTTGGGAATGAAAGTTGAAATCCGTCTTTGTGTGGAACCTTATGGAACTAAAGCTCAGAAACGGTGAATTGTCTGTCCGTGCAGAGTTTGAATTCTTGTGTTTTGGTATGCCGTTTGGATGATTGCAGGCTTACATTGAGAAAGAGGATAGCAAGAGACTGAAGCAGAAACAGCGGGAGAGGATGCAGCCGAAGATGGGGAAGATGGACATTGATTATCAGGTAAGCAAAGGCTTAAGGCATGGTCATTAGGGGTTAATATATTCTAGCACAGGCTCATGTGTCTGATCGATGATTGCAGTGTATTGATGGAGAGAGGAGGAATAATCTCCACCTGGTCATGCCTCGCCTGAAATGAAGAACAGTTGCCACCTGTTCTTGCCTGTGGAAAAAAGGAAGTCCGGCGGTGCAGCATTCACAAGTGATTCAAAAAACATTTACGGCAAGCGATAACAGGGTCCATTGCCGATGACAGTATTTCATGGAAGTTGCGGAGCAGGGTCTAAACTTTAAAGATGAAAATGAATCATTCAGATATCGTTTCTTTCTGGGCATTGGACCAATGGCAATGCCACAGGGTCGAGTGACGATGAGTTTTGCTTTCGAGGCTGTTTTTAGCAATAGGAGCACCATGGATACTTTATGGCACTCCCCAAGAAGATAATGGAAAGGGTTTGCTTTGCCTTGTATGATTCGAATGGATGGGGGAGAGGGGTGAAGATAATATGCACAGAAGTGCAAGGGGTAAGCAACTAAGGTATGGGGCTTGGCGTGCGTGATGTAATTTAAAAAAGTTTGTGGGATAGGCATGATGAACATCTTCAAGGTGCATCTGTAATTTTGTACCTAAAAAGGGATGGAACTCTTGAGAACAGGAGAAGCCTTCGTTACCCCAAAAAAAAAAAACGAGAAGCCTTTCAATGCTGCCTTTGTTTGTGTGACTTCATTTGCCACTTGTCTTGCTTCCATTGTCGTGATGGTGTATACCAACCCGCCCCCCCTTCCCTTCACCCCCCAACCACCTTCCCGCTCCGCAATACACCTCCCCTGCCTACCCTCTCTTGCCCCCCATCTCTGCCTGACACTCCCCCTTCACTCACCGCGCCGCCTCCAATTTCATTCCCCCCACATGTAGGAAACTCATGCCTCTTTTCTTTTGGCCAAAATCGGACGAGCAGAAGAGCATGTATGCCTGGCTGTAATGCAATAGAAAACCGAAAACGGTTTCTGCTCGTTTTAGCTACATCATCGACGGGCATGCTTTTAAAGTTCTTTTTGTGTTGCCGAAAAAAAAAACAGTTTTTTTCTCTTTTCTTTTGAAACATGGCCAAGTGCTGAACCTGTTTGCGGAAAGGACCAGCTGCCTGTATTTGGCTGGCTTGTCTCGTTTTAGCTACATCATCGACGGGCATGCTTTTGAAGTTCTTTTTGTGTTGCCGGCAGGGTTGCACCCCTGCCGACCGCAGACCCCGACCGCCGACCGTATTGCAGCCGACCAGTAGGGGCGACCGGTCGGCGGTCTGCCGACTAGTGAGAAAACAACTATCCACTGATTTTTTTTCAAATCTGAGTTGGGGGATGTACTGCGCTTTCCGAGTAGAGCCCAAATCCGCTGAGAAACTTTTTGGGATGGGGGAGGGGTATGGGGGGGGTGGGATTGGAGCATACCTGCGGCGCAAGTGTGCTGGTCACCAATGCGCAAAGAAAAAAGAAGAAAAAACGGCTGTTATGTGTGAGAACACGCAAGAGAGAGAGAGAGAGAGAGAGAGAGAGAGAGAGAGAGAGAGAGAGAGAGAGAGAGAGAGAGAGAATGTAAACAAATAGCTCCTTAAATAGCTCCTTAGCATTTATTTCAAACCCCCTGCGGGTTAATCCAAGAGGCCCCTACACACAATCAGCAAGGGCCAAGTTGCCATGAACGAGGTATAGTAGTCATAGCCATGCTAAAGTCATGGCACGCCAAGTATATATGCTGTTGATTCACTTAAGGTCCGTGTTTCAGCAGTTATGGGACCACTGAGCACGCGAGTTTCTGGGCAGTAGCAGGCCAACTCACCACGTGCTTTTCAGGGCTTCCCTCCACTACTCACCAAATGTGCAAAACTGGAATGAATCTTCTGCTAGAACATGGAACCGTATGCCGCCATATGTTTTGTCTTTTGTGTGGTGACAAGTGAAGCAAGGCCCTTAGGGCCACTGCGCGTAGAAAAATGAAACAAAAGAAAGAGAGGAATGAATCTTCTGCTAGAACATGGAACCATACACCGCCATAGGTTTTGTCTTTTGTGCAAGTAGTGACGAGTGGAGCAAGGCCCTTAGGGCCACTGCTCGTAGGAAAACGAAACAAAAGAAAGAGAGAGCTACGGTAGTAAGTAGTTGTACTGCTGGAAAGCAGACGTGACTTCGGATCCAGAACATATATTGCTGGCCTGCTCCTCTTTCATACGAAATTTCCTGAACGTCTCTTGAGATGTTGGGACCCTTACATATGCACTGCTGGGGTCCTCCGGGAAAAAGACTATTCAAAAAGGAATGCGTGAGCCCAATTTTTTTTCTCTGTGGGGAGGTAAGAATATTACCTAGAGAAGATATGCCTTATACTCAAGATGGTACACCTATAGATATGGTATCACGTCCATTAGGAGTTCCCTCAAGAATGAATTCAGGACAGAATGCACCATTGGCTACCTCAGCCAGCGTTCTCCAATTTTTTTTTTAATACCCTATTTATTGGGGTGCTTCGCATCATGTGCGCGTGCATGCTTACACATGCGTTATGCGCTGCACGTGCGGAGCTCGCGCGCACGCGATACGCCGCAGGTATGGGTTGGAGTATAGGGGGAGTATAGGGGTGATATAGGTGATATTTGGGGGTTTAATAAGGGTGTTGGGGGCGGTTCGGGAGTGTTGGGTTGGTGTATGCGGGTATTGGGGGCCGCTATGGGGGTGTGGGTGGGGTTATTAGGTGTTCTGGATCCCAAAAACAACAAAAAGAAAAGGTGCGGGGTGCCGATGACCCCCGACTGGTAGGTGCCGACCAGTCAAGGGCTGCCGACCGTCGGTGGGTCCAACACTGGTTGCCGGAAAAAAAAACAGGTTTTTTTCTTTTTTTCTTTTGAAACACGGCCAAGTGCTGAACCTGTTTTCGGAAAGCACCAGCTGCCTGTATTTGGCTGGCTTGTCTCGTTTTAGGTGCATCATCGACGAGCATGCTTTTGAAGTTCTCTCCGTGTTGCCGGGGAAAAAAAAACAGTTCTATTTCTTTTCTTTTGGAGTTGCTAAGTGCTGAACCTGTTTGCGAAACCTCAAGGATCAGCTGCCTGGATTTGGCTGGCTTCTCGGAGATGGTGGTGTAAGAGATTGACAGCGTGTTGAGCCTGAATAGAAGTGCAAATTCAGTCTCATCTGCCCGCATGGTATTTTCTTTCAGATGCAAAATAATAGCCTGCCTGTTTGTATTTGCAGGAAGGTTTGGGGGGGATGGAATTGCTGGCTTGTGCAATCTTTCAGTTTGCTGAACTTCAATCCATCTTTGTTGGAATATATGTACCTAGTGTACTGATGCCAACTCATTTCGTTCTTCTTCTCCAGGTGCTGCATGACGCATTCTTCAAGTACCAAACAAAGCCAAAGCTGACTACGCATGGAGATTTATACCACGAAGGGAAGGAGTTCGAGGTAATTCCTTGTTGTTGTACTAGTTTACTTAGCGAGTTAATGGCCAATTAGCAAATTTCATGGCTACCGTGAACCCGGACACCGGACCAATCCGGACCCGGACAACCAGTAAGCCCGGATATGATCCGGACGTTCGGATGGTCCGGATGACCATGTCCGGATCGGTCGGGATTGAAAAAAAAGAAAAAAACACTTGCAGGTCTCTTATGCATGTTGAATGCAGTTTCATCATATAACCGTGACTTAAGGGGAAGTGTTCCAGGAAGACATAGCTGTTGGCATATATGACAAACATGAATGATGATTCCTTGACATGCACTGTGCTGGCACAGTCACTGCAAAGCACAAACTGCTGCAAGGAAAGAAAAAGTGAAGAAACAAAAAAAAAGAACACTCCGCAGTAAACTTGAATATAGGTCAATATTAAATAAAGTTCAAGACTTTAGCGGTTCATAATTTAAATTCAAATTTTGAAGTCCGAATTCAAACTCTCTCTCTCTCTCTCTCTCTCTCTCTCTCTCTCTCTCTCTTGCATGTGCGCACATGTGAACACCAGTCCACAACGGTAATGCGGACTCTCTCCCTCTCCCTCTGTGTGTGTGTGTGTGTGCGTGTGCGTGTGTGGCGGCAGCAGGTGGGTGGGAAAGCACTTTGAAATGCCTAGATCCGCCCTTTCTTCCCTTTGTCACTGGGGAACTGCGGTCTGCCTCCAATGGTCTGCCCAGGATGCACATAGAAAAGGGGTTGGTCCGGCCGTGCTGTCCGGCCGATACCGACCCCAAAAATCATCGAAACATTTGTCAGGGGGCGCCCTGGACCCAAGGAACAGGTCTAGGGCGCCCCCTTCTTTTTTTCGAATTTTGGGGTTCTGGCCCCTTCCGGACGGGCCTCCTACGGTCCGACGTCCAGACACCGGACAGCAGACCGTCTGGATGCCTGTCCGGATGTCCGGATGGTAGCCATGGCAACTTTCCAATGTTCTGAGTTTTATAAATAGGTGTGCGAGATCTGCCGTTCTTAAACATGCTCCCCCCAGAAAAGGGGCAAATCGATGGTCTTCCAACCCTGGAAAATCCTTTGTTTTTTTGTAACAACTGTAAAATCAACATAATGCCAAACTCAGAATATTAGAACTTTGCTATTTTCCCTGAGCTAATTTGCTGTGCTGCACGGTTGGTTGGTTGGTTGGTTTATGAGCTGTGTTCTTTTTCGTGATCGGCTGTTGGATGGGCTTTGACGTCTTTGCTGATTGAACGTTTGATGAGCTGTGGTGTATCTTTTTGAATGTTGGTTATTCGTAAGAATGGGTCGATTATATGAGAGTTCTGTCGTTCTTTGGAATGTCTGCCACTGACATGTAGAATGCGGGGTTCTTTGCTCACAGGTCAAACTGAAAGAGATGAAGCCTGGACAGCTGTCTGACGAGCTCAAGGCTGCTTTGGGAATGGGAGAAGGGTGCCCTCCCCCCTGGCTTATCAATATGCAGGTTGGTGAGATGCCCTTTTAACGAATGACTTCAAGAAGGGGCCCTTTTTATCGGTAGCTGTTCTCAGAGATTGTCCTGAATTGTTGAGTCAGTGAAGACATTTTCACGCAATATCTGAGGGTCTGTCAGGCAGGCCTGGGTCAGCCGGTGGGTGTGAACCACCCGTCCTGTGGAAGTCCTGTTGCCGAGCAGGGGTATTTGTTAGGTTGCTGGAGTTTTGGAGGCTTGGGACGAGCGGCAGGTCTTGGGAGGCTCAGCAAAAACCGTCATTGTCCAATACGAAGGCGGATGGAGTGTCTAACTCTGGCGAACTTGAGGTGCAGCCAGTCTGTATAACGTGTCAGTCATTGCATATTACTCATGTTGTGGACAATATGATGGCGGTGCTTGCATGTGGGACTTGTCATCTGGGATCTGTTTTGTTGCCCCCTGTTCTGTATTATTTGGCTGTTCCCTTCCTCTTTTCTTTGCCTCTTTGCCTTTTGGCTGTGTGCAAGTGGGTCGATATGACACACGGGGGTGGGGGCAGCCGCCGCTCAACCTACATCCACGTGGGCGGCCTTGTACGCAAGAGGTTCTGAACAGGGGCAGTTGTGAGGAAGAAGATTAAAAACGAATTCAGTTTTTCTTGTTTATTTTGTTTGTTTTTCGCTTTGGCGCTCTGATATCATGTGACAAGATATAAACTCCGACGAAACAGTTTGTCACAGCCCCTCGTTTGTTGTCCTCTTCTCCCTCTCTGCCTACGGTTTACTGGGCAGTTCTGTTTGACGATATATATTTGACGATATATACAATATATATATATATACCTTCCTTTCCTCGTTCCACCCACATCCCCACCAGTACCACACACCCACCCTTACCAAGTGTGAACGGGTTCTGGCCACACTTTGTGGGGACAGCTTGGTATCACATGCATTCAAGGCTCTGGCGTGCCCAGCGTCCTGGCAGTGGAGACGAAGAGGGTTATGTTGTGAACTGTAACTGTGATATAAACGTTACATGTTCGATTTGGGGAGAATAGGTTCGATTTGGAAGCAAAGACCTCTTCGGCGGCTGCAGGTTACAGAGTGTTATGCAACCGAAGCATACGATTCCTGGTCAACATCATGGTAAGACTTCTTGCTGGGTGGAAAAGAAACTTTGTTGAGACAAATACAGTTCAAGAATCCTGTTGGTTGCATTTCATTTTTTCAGAGCACTGGTGACGGCGACATGTGAAGGCGAGAAAGGAAAAATGGTGTTCGAGAAACAGGAAAACGTCACATATGGCCATAATATGTGACGACCATATGTGAAGTTGAGACAAAAAGAGTTCAAGGACCCTGTTGGGTGTGGGCATTTTGACTGCCATGCATTATCGGCCTATCTGATTCTGGAACCGGATACGCGTATGCGTATTCGGTTTAAACCACCAGTACCTTTCCCAGCTATGTTTTCAGAGGCGTGCCGGGTAACGCGCTGGCCTGAAACGGAAGGGTGGCCGCCAATAAATTGAATCGGCAGCCAGTCTTGATTTTCGGGCCAGTACGCAGGTCTGGCTGACATATGGGAAAGGTACTGGTGGTTTAATAGTTCTCGCCGAAGTTTAGTTATAGTTGCAATTACTTGCAGTCATATGTGGTGCAGGACATGGTTGCATCCCTGCCGACCGTCGACCCCGACCGCCGACCGTATTGCAGCTGACCAGTTGGGCCGACCGGTCGGCGGTCTGCCGACCAGTCAGAAAACAACCATCCACTATTTTTTTTCAGATCTGAGTTGGAAGCTGTACTGCGCTTGCCGAGTACAGCGCAAATCCGCTGAGAAATTTTTGGGGATGGGGGGGTTGGGGGATGGGTGTATAGGGGGATATAGGGGGGTATGGGGGTGGTATAGTGGTTACTGGGAGGGGGGGTATGAGGATGTTGGGGGGCAGTTTGTGGGTGTTGGGGGGGTGTATGGGGGTATTTGGGGCTGGTATGGGGGTGTTCGTGGGGTTATTACGGGTTCTGGACCCAAAGGTGCCGACGACCCCTGACCAGTAGGTGCCGACCAGCCGACCGGTCGGCGGGTCGACAGTCGACCAGTCAAGGGTCGCCGACGGTCGGGGTGTGCAACACTGGTGCAGGATGAATTGAATGGGCAGCCACAGCGGGCCAGTTCGGGATGCCCACTGGCTGTGCATGGGTGCTTCCAGCCTTGGCCAACAGTGTGATGCAGGTCTGAGTCGATCTTTGTCCGGCTGCTCTGTTCTCAGCCCAATTTTTGATTGGTAGGTGGGGAGCAAATCAACTACTGGTTATGCCTGATCACTCTCCTTTCTCCTGACCTTGAGGGTCGCTGTAACAGGTAGCTGCAATCGATTTCGATCTCAATTCCAAGAGGGAGTTCTTACTGTAATTTGATGTTTCGAAGCTGTACAATGACATTTCCAAGGAGAGTGGCGATAGATTTCTATTCTATTGAGATTGCACACCTGAAATCGACTTTGTAAGTGTCCTGACGAGTCTAGGTCTTCATTCTGGTCTTTGTGGAGGGCAACATGTCAAATGTTTCATGCGCTTACACACTGTCAGTTGTGCTCAAGCCTTTCTCTACCTTCTTCTGCTTTTCCTCCCTCAACCCTGCCCTTGTGATCGCTTCAAGCAGATGTTCAGCGTTTTTGCCTATTTGCTGAATGTGCTTTTGTTGTTCTACCCTGCGTAGCATCATGTTTGCGCTCCGTGACCGAACCCGAACGTTCACGACCGAAAACGAACGAGCGCCATAACCCTCCAAACACTAACATAAAAAAAAATAAAAAAATTCTCTGAAATATCTGAGAAGTTTATATGTTATGTAAAATGATAATACAAACAACGTTTTCCTGGGAGGCATGTTCAAATTCTTAGCCAAACGCGAGTTAAAAATCAAAAACCTAAAAAAGAAAAAAATATGTTAGACCAAACATGTTCGAGAGGCGTTCAGCCCAACATGTTCCGTGTGCTACACAGGTTCTATCAACTGATCATTTTGATGGGTTGGCTGTCTTTTTTTTGTTTTGTTTTTTCTATTGCTGTGCAGAGATATGGTCCGCCACCTTCTTATCCGAGCCTGAAGATTATGGGTCTGAATGCTCCTATTCCGGAGGGTGCTTCCTTTGGTTATCACCCGGGTGGGTGGGGGAAACCCCCTGTTGATGAGGTAAGCTCGTGAGCAGGGGGTTCAGATGCTGGCAAATTGTGATCGCTGGTGCGTGGTACCGATGTTTGTGGACTGAGGAAAATCACTACCGTCTTAATCCGAAAACACCGTACGTACGTTATGTTCAACTTACCTTTGAAAAAATGGGTTCCCAGAAATTGCTGTTTTTCTTTTTCCGAATAGAACGTTCGTTTGACTACAACGTACGTAACATTGCATTCAAACACGATGTACGCACACTAAATTTGGGGTACGCAACATCTGAGACGCTGTTCGCTGACCTTTGCAAAATTTTAATTTTCCAAAGAAATCCAAAAAAGTCTGGAAAGAAAAAAATGTTGTACAACACTGCAATGCATTTTTTTTTGCCTGATGATCCTGTCAAAATTCGCTACCAAAATCCCGAAAAGAAAAGGAAAGGAGAGTACAAACATCTATTCTTTCATGGCAGAGACATTCAGTTTTCTGATAATTTCTAGAATTAGCGAAGAAGATAAAAAATTGTATCTGTAGATTCTGTACCAGGTTCCGGAAAAGTTATACTCTGAAATTCGTTGAACTACATATGTAGGTTGTATTTGAACACATTGTACCCCATATGTTCTATTTGTATGTTCTATTTGTATGTTTTATTTGTATACAACGAACATACATTTTTTTGGGGTTAAGACAGTAGTGTAGGGCTTGAACGAGTATCTCGTTCTCAGAGATAGTGTTTGCTGAAGCTGTTGTGATAGCAGCAATGATGGTGGTTGACATAGCTCTTCCTGCTTCTACAGTGTCGCAGTACTGTGGGGTATACAGAGTTTCTGAGCTCTGAAAGTTAAATTTTTGGGTGATGTGGGGTCTATGGTGGATGGTATATCCCTTTGCTTACTTTGCTGACAGCGGGTCTTAATTTGTCGAACTTCGTTTCTCACTGTTTTCTCTGCCGGTATGCTCCCACATGTTAGAATGCTAGCCACAGGGAATCTGAATACAAAGCATATGCGTTCTATTCATATACAAGTATGCTTTCTAGGAGTCTCTATTGAAAAGTCCCCTGTTTTTTTGGACCAACTTCTCAAATTACGTTTTTTTGGGTGAAAATTAGAATAGAGTGCGTTTGCGTCATGTTTGGGGGAAGACGGTGGTAGTTGTCTGCTGCTGCTGCTGCTATGAAAAGTGCCTTGCCTTATATGGCCTCTTCCTCACGCTGGTTTCTCGAGGACAACCCAGACTGGTCGGGTTTCAAGCCTGAGTGCGCTTCTGTGTGAGAGAAATCACACCAGTAGAAAATGAATGCGAGGAGTCGAGGACAACCCACACTGGTGTAAGCCTCAGTGCGCGTCTGTGTGGTCGAAATCACACCAGTAGCAAATGAATGCATCTGGTGACAGTTATGGCAACAGGGCCTTGAAAAATTGCAGGGGATCAACTGCAGCTTCAAGGCTTGCATATGGCTCAGAATGTGAAATCCACCACCATCCTGGGCTGGGCGCATGTGACGTCCATGCAGTAACGATCTGTATGCTTGGCCTGCACTTCGGGCCTGGGCTGTGCGGCGTCGATAGTCTACATGTGTGGCCACACTTTGGCCAGGTTTTTGTCGATGGCACAAAGCAATCCAGTTTCAAACGACCTTTCAGAGGCACTCTCGGTGTGCCATTATGGGATGATTGCCCTTGGGGTGAGTGGTGTATGGACATGTTTCACTATGGACGTCTGTGGGACGTGTGCTCTGTGTGTGGTCTCTGGACAAATTACTAATGTTCGAGTTGTTAGAAATGTTTTGAGGGCTAGCATCTGTGTGGGAGTATTGAATTGACAATTGTGACTTTGTTTCTGGTGATGTGCAGTTTGGGAAGCCACTGTATGGTGATGTCTTTGGGACGCAAGAGAAAGAAGAGGTACCGTTTGAGGTAAGGTTCCTCAGAGTGATTGCATGACTTTTTAAAAATTCTTATGCAGGGTTGCATACCCGCTGACCGCTGACCACAACTGCCGACCGTTCTGCAGCTGACCGGCCAGAAAACAGCCATCCACTGATTTTTTTTCAAATCTGAGTCGGGGGCTGTACTGCGCTTGCTGAGTACGGCCAACATCCGCTGTGAAACTTTTGGGGATGGGGGACGGTATGGAGAAGTTAGGGGGGGTATA